CAAAATGCTTCTTTGAATTCGAGATCTGTAGAAGAATTACTTTCTGGCAGCTTTTCTAAAGATATCTCACAGGGAAATTGCCGTGCTTATTACTACTGTGTTTAATTCTTCACTGCTTTTCTTTCTTTCTTGGTTGAAGCCCTTAATTTTTTTTCCGATTATTTTTTCCTAGAAGGAAGACTGCCCATGATGTGATTCAGTCTGAATATTTTTATAATGTGTTTTCTGTGTGGTATTTTATAATCATCATGAAGATAATTTTGACATGTAGTGAGTAAGAAGACAGTCCATTCTGAGCAGGACTCCTGCTTTTAAAGTGTAACCTTTAAGGATTTTCAACAGGACTTTCCCCTATACTGTGTACACGTGTGAATACACTGGAGAGTTGAGAAGTACTCCTGTTTTCTGAGTGCAGTCTGTGGCAGAGCCAGAACGTGCCTTTAATTATCCTGCCAAAGAGTGAAACTTGATCTCATCCATGAAGTTGATTATTTTGAGCGTACTCCTTCTGTCATCCCAGAGGTGGTGTGTCTGTTGTGTCCGTTCTGTCCACAGGCAGCTGTGCTTGCACCTTCAGGTCGTTAAGAACAGAGGGAGTTTCATAACTGTGTGGGTAACTAAGGTTTCATTTCATTCTACTTTTAACTGTGATTTAGCTGTTTTATTATAAAATAACCCAGAAACAAAGAGGGCACGCTGAGGCTTGTGCGTGGAATTTATCATGTACTAATGAAATAGCTTTTCATAAGCACCCAGAGTCTTCTCCGTTCATTCTGATATCTTCGATCAAGTGTCTTCTGATCACCTCCCTCCCTCTAAAAGCGTCGGTAGAAACTGCCATTAATTTTTGCATCTGTCTTACTGTTTAGGTGCTTAAGGTTGAGTGAGAGGAATACCATCAAAATGTTTGACAAACAATGAAGGCATGTTGGAAAAGCTGGCTGATACAATTTTTACAGACCGTGATACAGGGCAGAGTTTTTCCAGTTTCTTGTCGAGTTCTGTTCAAAGCCCTTTTTAGAATAAGCATTGAATGGGTAATTCAAAGCATGTTGATGAAAGTATGCATTGAGTGTTTTATTCCGAGCCTAACATGCAAGTCTTTCTTTGCTGTCATATGAAATACATATGGCAATCCAGATTAGAACCAGGTAGAAGGCATATTTGGAATGCTGAGTGGTAGGGAAGTTTTCACAGCAGCAGCTATCATAGTGAGTTTTTTTAATTTACTATTATTAGCTGTATTTCAGTCTTTTTGTATCAATAGCCTACTGCTGAGTATTGGTTTAAATGGAAATTAAAATAATGAACAGACTTAGACGCTTTAGCAGAAGGTCTGTAAAAATTTTGCCATTTGCAACAGAAAGGTTTCCCCTCTTCTTCCAGCCGGCCCCCTTGGCCGCCCCGTCCCAGCCCGCCCCACGCGCACCTTAAGGACAGAAGTACATCTCTGTTCTAAGCCACTGTTCTGGTCATGTTCGCTAATTGTGCTTTACAACGTCAAATACTGGTACTAGCTGGTGTTTTGGCCTGTCCTGTTTCTCACCGTCTTCACGCTGCCAGTGGTGCCAGGATGATAACCTTCCCTGGAACACTGAGAGCATCCCACGTCTGTGACGGTCAATATCGGCTTAAATAACATAAAATGTAGGGGTAGTCATATGCAGTGGAACTGTTACATTTTTCAACACAATCTACTTTTTATTGTCTTTGCTAGGTTCATGTGACAGACAGTTGTATTGGAAGTCTTTTATTGTTGTAGTACATAAAAAACAGTTGCTTCTTGCAAATAAACGTGAACTTTTGGTAAGATTTTAGAGGACACAGGGTTTGTTGTCTTCTCCCTGAACTAATCATCTATCTCTGTATTCTAATGATTTTTTTTTTTGTTCTCCTATTCCTTCCTTTCATACTTGTGTTTCTGGTGCTTCATGGTTTTTTATTTTACTTTCTTTTTTTAGGTATCTGCTTTTTGTGCTTTTGGCAGCTTTGCTTTAAAGTGGACCTTGATCAGGTGTTTATTGATATTTTGATCTCTAAAGCAATACAAGCTAAAGTCTCGATGTATGTATACACATGTTGGCATATGTGGTTTTTAAGATTTCAGAGTGAAGATGCAATTTTGCAGGTACTGTAGTTTCACATCTTCTGTGTGGAACAGTCTCTTTTACCAGTAGGGATTCTTTTCTGGAGATACCTTTGAGTGACTGAGGCATAACTTCATTGCCTCCCTTTCAAAAAGAAAACCCCTGACTATTGTAGTAAGCGTGCTCCTTCTGCATGTAAGTCTCTGCCTTTTATTCCTCACCCTGGCTACATAATACCACATTTTAGCCTAAACTAAGGCTACTGGTTGCCTTAATGCCATCTGTGTGGCTTGACTGCAACATACATTTTTTCATTTCTGAACCTGTGAATAAAGGAAAAACCGAATGTCCTATGGAGTGTCTCCAGGGTATACTAACGTGTCAGGTCTCTGTGGAATGTCGGAATGTGCTGACATGTGGTTTGTTTCCTAGGTTCCTTCACCAGCAGTCTCTGATGAGAAGACAGGTTCTTCCCTCTGCTTTTGGCAGTTTCTTTCCATGAGCAGAAAAGGTGCTTTTGCCCTCTGCTTCAGTAATAGCTCCAAAGCCACGTGCCGATAGCCGTATCAGGAGCCTGACCGTACAGAATATTCTCCAGTGTTTTGTTTTCAGTTCGGTAATCTCTCTCCCCGCTTCCCCCCGCCCCTTCTTTTTCTCTCAGTTCTTCTAACTTTCCACAAACTAGTATTGTGCTAAATATTTAGGAACTGGCTGGGCTTGGAGTAGGCTTTCAAAATACACCTTAATTGTCTATACCCTGAAAGAGGTTTTTTTTTTCTCCTGTCTCTGCAACAATTATTTTTCCTGCCTTCTTATACCTTTCAGACCAGCAGGCAGTGAATTTTCTAGCATGTCGTTTATGGGTGGCGTAAATGGCCCTCTTCGCTGTGGGTCCAGCAGACTCCCGCAACGTGAGAACTGCAGTTGTTTTTTCTTGCCTGCAGCAGGGCTAACACAGATTCAGTGGGCCAACGTTAGCAGCAGTTGGGGTAGTTGGATAGTATAACTTCAGGGTAGCATAAAATAAAATCGACCTTACCGTTAAATTAAAGGAATGATACAGAGACTGTATGAAACGTATTTTGCAATTTAAGCAAGCTCCTCAATTTTTGAAAATGTATCTGAAGCTGCTCTAGAGTGCCTGGTCTACCAGAGTGGAGCGCTGCGGAGTCCAGGGGCCTCGCCGCAGGATTTAGGTCACCCTTGCTGCGGAGCACACAGGACCTGGGGTATTGTCCCTCTCCCTGAAATTCCCGAGTCACCTCCTGGCTGCTTCTGATGTCTGTTTCTTAGCTCTCGCTGTTCACTTCGATTTCATGTGTTGGTGCTTTAAGTACTCGGTGTTGTTTCTTTCATGCTGTGTGAATGTAAGCGTTGAGAGATTTCAAACACAGACCGGTGCTTCACAATACTCATGTCCTGCTTGCTAGGCTCATGCCAACAGCTTGTGACATCTGGTTGGTGTGTTTTGAACTCTCCTGCGCTGTCTGGCACCCATATTGCAGTTACCTGACGATAAGCAGATGCTTCCTACCTTTTTCTGGAGCTCTTCAACAAGCGGTTTGTGCAGTGCTCCCCATGCCCTTGCACTAGTGCTCTAGTGCACTGGCAGGTGGGCGTGTAAAAGACACGTGAACGTGTGCTGCATCTTGTCTGAACTGGGAGATCACGGAACTGCTGGGTTGGCAGGGTATGCTCACTAACTTATCCCCCACAGCTGCGGGGAGCTGCCGATTTCTTCTGCATTTGATAGGCACGTAATGTTTGCTCAGGGCGGTATTTCTAAAGTCTGTTTGGTTATTACGAAGGTTTTTCCTGACAATTGATCAAGGATCTGGCTACATTCCAGTGACCGTAAGGAGTTAGCTTTGCCATTTCCTGGCTTGAATTGGGACTTGTAGGTAATGATTTGTGCACATAGCATCCAAACAGAGCTTCTGCACAAATGGAAACTTGTTGCTTACCAAAAGTGCTTACCAGAACCGGTAGAGAAGTTGCTGAAAGTAAAAGCTCTGCATTTGCCCAGTTACAGGTGTGTTTATCTTGCGCTAAAATTCTTAGAGAGCACAGAAGAGCCAAAGGCCTGGCAGCCATTTTCAGAGGAGCCTGTTTTGTTGCTGCTGCTGAGGAATCTGTAGCTCACCTTTGGATGATCCAAAGGATAATTTTATACCTATTTATGTTTCAAGTAAAATTTTAAAAGCCATTCTGCCTTTATAGGCTTTTGTATTCCCTTACTTACTGAATACTAGGATTATCAACATTATATCTTAGGTTTTTGTTCAGGTGATTACTGTACAATATGGCATTTTGCTCGTATGAACAGTAAAAATAGATCTGCAGGTATAATTGTGGGCAGTGCAAGCCATGGAATTAAACAGTCATGAGGGAGTAGAGAGGAAGCAGGATATTTTTTAGCATTCTGTCTAAAATTGCTATGTTTTAGCAATAGGAACTAGTGAGCTACAGTTTTCAGCAGTTGTAGAAGAAAATGAAATGTAAACAGAACTGAGGCTAGTCTCTCTAAATACGGCTGCAGGATAAACACCTCTGCAGAAAGGCAAATTTAGAGAGGATTTCTTTGTCCAAGTATGAAACCCAAGTACTGTTTGTGTTCCAGTCCTTTTGTTGGCAGTTTTGTGTTTGTGAATAGAGTCCTCAGAGGTTGTTTTTTTTTTTATGACTCTTGTACCACTTTAATTTTGCTCTGTTAACTAGTGCATTGTGCAATAATTAGTCCCATGCTTTGATTATCAGCTGTTATTTTTAATCAGTGTTGAGAAGAGTAACCTGTGGGAGAATTGCATGCTCTTTGTTACCATCCCCATGGAACTGTACATGCGTCTAATCTGGATGAGTTCATAGTAGCCCTCAATTTTTGAGTAATATGGCTATTTTCTTCTTCATAGGACTGAGTTTGCCCTAAAAGAAATCATGTCATCAGGAGGAGCTGAAGATGATATTCCTCAAGCAGAGAGGAAAACAGTGACAGACTTTTGCTACTTATTGGATAAATCTAAACAGCTATTCAATGGCCTAAGGTTAGTGCATATTTGACAGTATTCCTTCAGAGAAGTATTGGAACATACACTTTAGTACGTGAGTGATGCTGAAGTCAGTTGTACAAGAACGCTTCGAACTCAAACCCAGTAAGTTCATTTAGGAGAGCACGATGTGTACCTATGTATGGGTAGGTTTGGACCGCGTGTGTAAGAACGTCTGTAGGAGTAGAGGTTCACGCATTTCTTCTGAGACGGTAGGGAAGGAACTGTGAGAAAGGTGAGCTGAATGTCACAGTCATGTCAGTTAGCAGTAAGCTAGAAGTAGGAAATTCTGTGAAATTGATAGAATTCGTACTGAAATGCTGTGTATGAAGTACACAGTTAAGGACTAGGTGTGGCTGTGTGCATGCAAGTTCAAAACCCCACAGGCTCTGTACCAAAAAAAAGGGGATGAGAAGGATTGGCCTAGGTGGGAGGAAAGGCATGGAGGGAATATTTTTTTGGGAAGGAATTTAGGAAGTGATAAACGGAAACCTCCAAACCATAGCCTGTATGTGTCTGGTGAAACAAATGCTTAATCTGAACTGTGGAGAAAGGTAAAATCTGCATTTATCTACAAAACATCTGCAATAACACCTAGGAAGTCTAGCTGTTTTGTCAGCACCAGTAAGAAGGGGAATAAGAGTAAGGGGAGTTGAAGGAAAATAGTTCACGTTTGGACAGTGATATAGGCATCCTGTTTATGTCAGTATATGTGGAGTTAAAGATTTTGTATTCAAGAGCTGTTTTATTTCTAAGCTTTGCTGTAGAGTCTCTTAAGCAACATGATTTTTAGCTCATATCTTGTTGGCAGTTCAGCGTCTTACTGGTCTCTGAGTAATACTGTATGTTTGGGCCCATATAGCGTGCTGTTATTCAAACACAGATGGTTAGCAAAGATGTTTTTAATTCCTTCTTCCCCCTGCCCCCTGCTATTGATAATCATTTCGTGTGCTTTAGAAGTTGATTACCATATCCAAAACAAACAGTTTGTGCTCCAAAACCTGAACGGTAAATGGGCAGTAGGGACAAGGAGTTCTTGGTGCTGCCTTCAGCACCCTATGAAACAGGGTCAAAAGCAAAAGGACTGAGATCTTGAGGGCAGGATTTCCAGGGCCATATATGCCATTGCATTGGCTTTCTGATGTAGCTTGCTTGAAATTTTGTCCTGAGTCACTGAAGAGTACCAATTAATACAGTTCACGTCCAGATGCGCGATGCTTAAGTTCAAATCACAGAGATGGCAGAGCACCTACAGCCATTCTGTCTTTTCCTTTGGGCACGGAGGGAGTTAGTACTTGTGTCGGATTTCCAGATGAGAGATGTAGTTTCCATGTGTATCCATGGTACTTTGCTAAAAAGAAACCTTCTTATCCAGCTAGATGAAAAGAAGAGCGAAAATAACTTTGGATGAAATTTGGGCAATAAAAATAGAGAGATGGGCTTCAGCAGCTGGCTCTGCTGTGTGAAAACAAGAACATGCTGGAATGGGAGCCTGCCTCTGTCCTTACTGCAACTTGACACAATTAACGTAGTTGCTTCTTGCACTGAACTTGACCGCCATTTCACCTATAAGGCCTGTGATTCCAGTGGGCATAATGACTGGATAAAGCAGCATTATCATTTTCAGGTATTTCCTCTGTTAGTGCTTGTTCTCTTCTGGGTAGTTCACCTGGAAATGACTTGGCAAGTATCCTAATTCTTAGTCCAGTTGCTTGCTTTTCCCTCTAGCATAATAAATGCATTTGATGCATGCCTGCCTTCTTCTGTTCTGAAGATGATGATGGCCTTTGCTGCTGTGTTTTATGCCATTCTCTTGTCCCTGCCATGTTTCATGGAAAAGAAGTGATGGGGGAGGAGAGGAGAGGAATGATTTCCTTCCTGAAACCTCCTCTGGGCACTTCAGCTACAGGGAACTGAGCCTATAGCTGCGTTGGCAGCTGCTTAGCTGTTGCTGCTGCCAAAAATGCAAGGGCTCAGCCTGCCACGTCTTTGTTTCAGTAGCATTTCCTTCTTCTCTTCCCAATGCAGATGCCAAATACAGCATTTGAGGAAAACATATGATGATCTGCCAAGGTTGCTGCTCCAAAGCATACTTCATGCTCACGCTACCAGTGATACCATCCTTTTGTGGCCATGCCTGTGAGAGTAACTTAGAGGGGAGGTTGTCTTTCTAGTGGCCGTACTCCCTTTCTGAACACCCTGAGCTATAAGTTAGAAACAACTGTTAATGAAGTATGTTCCAATTGCTCTCTTCTCTCCTTTTCCCACTCCCACTTGCTTTTTTCTTGAATAAAGGCTGGAAAGAGGGAGCATGTTAGGAAGCAGTTTTTCATGGTGTACTGTCACCAGTTATTATTTTCTTTTTAATGTTAAAAAGTGCTTAAATGTGTTCAGTATCACACAGCAGCTGAAACTTTAAGAAATTAAAAGACTTTCCACATACATCATACTTTCCCGGATTATAAGGTCTTGTTGCTCATTGTGCAGGCTGCAAGAATCACGACTGCTGTCCTTTCGTGGAAAGAGGTGACAGTGTTTAACCATTTATTTTGTAGACTTCTAGTAAGATGCAAGTTGAACCTCTTAGTTTTGTTCCATGCTGCTGCTGCCGTGGAAACAACAGGACCCTGCTAGCTTCAGGTGATGCTGCAGGCCGTACGCTGTCTGGTACTGGGAAGGGACTGGCTTCTCACACCAATTGCATCAGTGAGGCAAGTTGCTGCGAGCGCTGCTGGTGTGCTTACTGTCTGTGGGTCGCGAGAGGCGATAGGGAAGCTATGCTGCAATGCCCGTATCCCACTGCTGCTTAGGTTCTGGGAATAGGAGCCTGTAATCACTACAACCCTATGAACGTAAAAGGAAATTGTCTTTTTTATCACCTGTCAAAACTGTGAATGTATTTAAAGCTTTGAATGTTAAACTTACCGTTATTATAACCTTCCCTTTTGAAGTGTACTGCTGAGTCTTTAGGACTTTCTCAACATCTCTATGTCTCTGGAAGTTGTCCCTGTGTGACAACTTCTATGCGGTGCTGGCCAAACCAACCTCAGCGCCTTTAATTGGTTTTCAGCCAGCATTGCCTGGCTTCTGCCAGCAGCATGGCTGAAATGAACTACTGACAGAAAATGAATTGTGAGCACGTAAGTAGTGCTGGTCTTTGCCGAGTCTGTGCAGCAAGAATTGGATAAAATTCTGGACTGTCTATGAAATTTATGCACCAGCCACTCTGGTGTGGCAAGGGAACCAGTCTTCTGTGCCCAGTGTGAGAAACCCATCCTTTTAGAACATCTGAGTTTGTGTCTTCATGTCCAGTTTGGAATGTTTTAAAAGCCAAGAAATTGTCTCCACTTGTTGTTGGAGGCTGTTGTAATGAAGGGTGTAACTGTCTTCCTTGTCTGGATAGAGCTGTCCTAAATCAAACCATCTCCATTCCCTCCTCTGCATCTGGGTGGCTCCTTGCTGCCAGTTCCTCCCTCCTGCAGAGCCGATGGTGATCAGTAACAGCAGGAGCGCGTACCCCGCCGCTGCCTGTTCGGGACCCAGCATCCTCAGCCCAGAGGAAGATGCGGCTGTTGCCTTTTTCTCTCCATGTTGCTCTAGTATCCTTCTGTAGATCTGGAAGTAGCAAAATGTCTTGCTATCACGTAGGTCTTCTGCTCTCAAGTTGGGTGTGTAATTGCTTCTGGATCATATATTCTCTGTCTCCTTCAGTGGGAGGAGCTGTATTAATGATCTGCTCTGCAATCAACCGGGTCTTTAGTATTCTTTTGGGCTATTTCTCACCAAATAATGCAGATCCTCTGGTCTGATTTAAAAAAACCTGCACTAAATATCCTCTTTTGCTTATGCATCTGTTTTCTCACAGCAAAATTTCTTGATACACAGGAGCAACATGCATGATGTTCAGAACAGAAAACAGTAAACGGATAGCAGCAATGGCAGCTCTTGTCTGCAAAAATCTGTGGTAAAACCACGGTAATGTATTGTCATAAATGAAGTTTTATTACAGCCGTGTCAGAATACTATCAAAAGAACAAGTGCTACTGTCTGTTTCCATGGAGATCTTTCCTGTTCCCTGGGGAGCCGAGGAATCGCATGGTATTGTGCAGCTATGCCAGCTGCAATTAGGCAAGCACGCTGCTTGCGAGATATACGTGTGGACACCCAGCAGCGACTGTGGACAGCAACGGCCAAGCACGTGTCCACTGCGCTAACAGAGGCTTTGTAAAACGCCACTAATTTTCATATATATGCAAAACTAATGCAGCAGAGTGAGCTGAGGTAGGTTTTATAAGAATGCTTAGGCTCGTACAGAGTCGAGGGGGTGACAGAGGTGCGCAAGAGAAGATGACAGGGGAGGTATAAAGAGCGTGTTAGCTTCCTGATGAGGGATATATGCATAAGCATGATCAGCAAGTAGTTACCTGCTTATTTCTTAATTCGTGCACATACCTACTTCTCGGTGTTTGAGCGAAGAAGGGTATGTTTTCTTGTTTCCTTATGTTAGACCTTTGCTCAAATGTCCGAAGCAACTTGGCCTAGAAAGCCCAGTTTACTACTGGTTGAGTTCTCCGAGTCCACTTGCTAATTCAGTCATTCTTTAAGTTGGTGCTGGGGAACTTTGATTTTTTTATTTTTTTTTTTTAATGATCAATTTTAGTGTTGTTTTGTGTTTGTATTCACTATTTATTTTTTTTTTTAACGTTGAAACTTGTGATGTGCTAATTTAATTTAACACTACCTCTTGCTATAGCAAAGCTCCGATATATCTTAGGCATGTATTTGGACAGTTTCTTAACTTCTTTTGTTTAGCTAAAATGTTTACATCTATTACAACAATAGAAAGTGGTGAGTCATTCGTTGCAGTAAATGCTTCAAATTTGCGTGTGGTTGTATCAAGCTATATTTGGATTAAGATGTTGGTGCCCTGAAGCACATGTTTATACTCCTGTTTACTCCCCACTACACTAAAGTCTGTTCCAAGATGTTGAGCAGCCAATTGCAAGTTTGAGGGGTTTTTTTTTGTTGTTTGGTTTTTTTTGTTGTTGTTTGTTTGGCTGGTTGGTTTTTTTTGTAAAATCCTGCCCAGATTCCTTGGCATCTTCATAGAGTAGCAGCAGCAAGTACTGGAATCGTTTTCCAGGCTGGTAAGAGTCATAGCTGATAACGGATTCATTTTACATGTAGTAACTAAGCTAGGTCCCTTCAAGCTGTGTGGGAAGTACAGTTGGCTGATGAGAAAAGGAATATTAATTTCCTTTTCTACCTAGGGTGCTGTTAAAGCAATTACAGTTAGCAGAAACGTGCCAGTACGCTGCTCTGGAAATCGTGGTGTACTGCTTTGCTTGCCTTCCTCCTCCAGAGGACGTGGCATGGTTTCCAAAAGGTGGTGTTTCCCTCAGTCTCAACCTCCCAGGCTCGGAAGTGGAATATACTGCTTTTCTGTGCGCGCCTGCTGAAGACTGAGGTGTTGGATGGTACGCTAACCAGCTCTGTGATTTCAAAGAGCATTCCCTGAAGAAATCCTTCTTGAATCAAATGAAGGATTACGCCATCGTGAAAAAGCTGTGCCACTTCCACGTAGAATTGTACACCTCCTTTGAATCAGCTGCAGTATAGATTTGTAGGCGACGTGCTCAGTGAGACTGAGGGTTTTCAGTCTTCTCTGTTGCATTTGTTCTGAGATTCAAGTAACTCCCAGGTGATGGCCTGCTGTTAGGATTGAGAGCACAACCTTTAAAGCCAAAACCCTTAGGACTACATCATAGTTGTGGGCTGGAGGGAAATATATCGCAGCATGGAAACTGAGTGGAGGTGCGAAAGCAGAACTGAACTGGACTGACTGACTCGCCTTACAGCGCTGGAGGCTGGTATGAAAAAACAGGTCGCCTCAGGTTCTGACATGCCACTAACTGTGAGGCAGAGGGTGACAAACGTTGGGGTGATGACGTAGCCTAACGCAGTGAGTGTCAGCTGTGAGCATCCGTATGCTGCCTGACCTGGTGACATTTGGACAGCTGATTTATATATGATGTTATAGGGTCTCTATCTGAAACGCACTGAACAGCCTCATCTGTTTAAAAAAGATTATTTCCTTAATGAGTAGCAAGAAATATTATCAGTCTAAATTAACTCATTTCCATTAGATTATTCTGCTTGCTCTTGGGTAGTTGGGTTTTTTTTGTTTTTTTTTTTTTTTTACTATGTTATTTTAAGAGTCCAATTTAGCTTTCTGTGCATATAACTATAAATATACTTCTCTTTTAGCAAGACGTTAAGATGTTTTCAGTCACCTGTTGGAAAACGCATGTAAGAACATGGTCATTTCCTATTTGGAGTGATTATTTGTAGGCCTGTTCTGATGCTGCTGAGAACCTGATATATTGAGGAACCTTGATAAAGGCATGTTTACAGGGGTTAGAGAGCATGGATTCCTTTTCACCCTTTAGAGTGTATTTGTCCATAAATAGCAATGTCTTTGCACGTATCCAATCACTTGACTCATGTTAACTGGCTCATGGAGAGCACTGCTTCCATCTGCTGCTATTCCGCCTGTTGGAGTAGCCATTCCAGAATCCCGGGCACATCTGGAGAGAACAGGCTCGTGCACAGTGTGTCATATGTTCATAATAAATACCATACGAATACACTGTAAATATACCATGTGTTTCATAACTAACTTAAAAGTGAATGTCTACCTGTATAACTGGTGGAAGCTGTTGGACAGGACTCATCTTGTTGAATCTTTTGGGGAGGGAGAGTAAGCCTGTTGTAAGGGGTCTGCTGTGCCGGGGGACTGTTTCTCAGTCTTGACTTGTAGCGGGACAAGCACTCTCGGGTAGGATATTGAGGGCTGTGGATATTGACTGGCAATAGATGCTAGAATAAATGGAATAATTCTGCTGTTCTTTGAATAAGTGACTGAATTACAGTTCTTGCATTTGAAGGCTGAGTTGCTGTCTTAGTAGGAGAAATTTTACTTCAAAAACTCACAATTAAGCTGCATACCTTCAGTTTGATGTTATAGCGTCATCCTTTTTTGTATAGAACATGCAGAGCTCGGGCAGTTTGAGACGTTGGCTCTCTGTGTCCCCAAACAGTGATTAAATGTAGGCAATCACTCGGAATATTTGCAAAATGCGTGGGGCCTTTATTAGCACTGGTAACTTCAATCCCTTTGCATTTGAAAAGCGACTAGAGAATTCATCTGAAAGTAGGAAGCAGGAGTTAGGAGACAGCACTGAAGAATTTCTTCCTCTCCCCAATGCATGCGTCTTCCTCACGTATATGCCTATGCAGTGTTTCCTTGTATGTATGTTAAATGAATATGCTGTCTGGCTTGTGGCATGTTTTTAGGGATACTATGGTCAGATCTTGATAGATGTACTTCCTACAAGCTAAACAGGATTTCCTTGCAGATTTCAGTAACAACAGCTTTTGAGAAAGTACAGGAATCGTGGTTCTTGTAGTTTTGGGTGCAGGCAGAGTTTCAAAGCATTTCAAGTCAATTCTGACCAAAGCTGTTCTGACATTGGCACAAACACGCTGCTGTCGCGCGGGGCTGACCGGAATCTGCTCCCTAACTCTGCCTTTGTCACTTGTCTGTTGCAGGGATTTACCTCAGTATGGGCAAAAGCAGTGGCAATCCTATTTTGGGCGAACATTTGACGTTTACACCAAACTATGGAAGTTTCAACAGCAACATCGGTAAGGGAATGTTGTAGGCAGACGTTTTCTGTGGATTTAAGTGCAACTTTAATCTCAGGTATGCCTAGGGGCCCCAATTACGATTGAGATTTCACTGTGTTATTCAAGCATGAAGGGAGGGAATGGTCACTTCCTATAGTGCTCACAGTCTAATGAATTAAAATGTTGCAGCGTTTTCAGTGTGACTTTTTCAGCAAAGCCTTTTGCTCTACTTGAATGCATGTTGCTTTAATATATTACCAAGGAGAAGCTGGGATGATGGTTTCTGCAGTGCAGAACCCATCTGGAATGGTGTGAAGTGTCTTGCTGCAGCGTGGGCTCTGATCTTTCACACCTTACGTTGGCTGCATAGTCTGAGCGTTCTCCTGGGAAGTTCTGACCTTTTGTTGTGTGTATTTCGTGCAACATACTTATGTCTCGCTCTCGCAAGTTTATGCAAGATAATGGTCCTTGTTCTGGTGTGTGTATGCAGTGCTGTTCGCTCTCTGAGGGACTGCTACTGGGAATACCACACCAGTAATGAAAGCTGAATTTTGCCCTACAATGGCTCTTTGTCTTGTCTGGTGTGATGTTCTGAGAAATTCTGGAATGCCTTTTAATCTTTCTTTTCTCTCTTGCGAAATAGACAAGTATTGGACAATCGGTATGGGTTGAAGCGGTGGCAAATTGGGGAAATTGCTTCCAAGATTGGGCAGCTCTATTACCATTATTAGTAAGTAAGCACAGAAAAGGCTTCAGTAGGGGAATGCAGTGTTAGTGGCAGCTCCATGCCAAACATCTGGATGCTCAGTCAGGAGAAATGAATGTATCAGTTGAGTCATGATGCCTGTTTCTGAATGAGAAGGCCCTTGGGACTGCATGGGGGTGCTGCAGAGAAAGGCATCTGTGAGCCCAGTACCATGTTGCTGGTCACGTTGGTATGCCTGAGGACGTAGCTCTTGCCTCAAAAGTGTCTGTAAGTCTTCCAAGCGTGCTGCATTCGACTCGTGGGCAAAAGTGATTTACAAATTTGGGAGATTAATGTTCCTTTAAACTTTTGAATTAACCTGTCACCTGTACACAGGGGCACAAGATGGGCAGATCTGATTGTTATCTGAAATGGAATCCAAGCTCTGAAATCTGTCTTCCCAGCAGGCACAAATAATGAGAGTCTGGCTTTCATACAGTGTTACTTGAGGAGGGAGTTTTGCCATTGATGCACAAGATGGTTGAGGGGGCAGGAAGGGAGGGTTTGGCATGGATTTCCATCTGAAGCAGTGAGCTAATCTGGTTCTTCCTCCGCAGCTTGCGCACTTCAGAAACCAGCTATCTCAATGAAGCTTTCTCCTTCTATTCAGCAATTAGGCAGAGGTCATACTACTCCCAGGTCAACAAAGAAGACAGGTATGTCTGAATGGCTGCCCTCAGTTTTTTTCAAGACTAGAACAGTGTATGAAAGCAGCAAATAACTATAAATTGTAGAAGCATAACTGGGATAAAATCGGTATAATTGGAGGAAGTTTCTTTTAATCCTCCTGCTGTGATTAAAAACCTGGGTATAAATAAGAACTTTGCTGTATGACTGGAGGAATATTCTATTATCTGGTCCTGGCTATAAAGCTATTAGCCCCAAAGTTTGTCATTTTGAGTCCTGAGCAGTGTCAGCACTGCGACCTAGTATGCTGAGGCTGGAAGACAAGTCAGTTGGGCTGAAGGAGAGGAACCTGTTTGATTCTAATCAGGCTTTTCAGGGGAACATCAGTTAGTACTGCACTACAACAGCCCTCTGTAACTGACTGGGACAAGGTCCAAGAACTTCAGGAGGCGTAACGTCTTCCTTTTAAGACTCTATACTGAGGAAGGTACACTCAGAGCAGGGCTGTGTTATGGCAGCGCAGAAAATCTGCTGCCTGCCAAGAACATAGATATAAATAAGAATAGGTAGAGGACTCAGTTCTGGATCTTGATCTTACATTCTAGCCAATAAACCTGGGTTCCCTCATCAAAGTAAGGAAGAAATGATCTTAAGCCTTCATCAAGAAAAGCGCAGAAGGTTAGTTAGGGAGTTTCCTACCAAGCATGCAAGGATCTCTGGACTTAAACTAATTGCACATCTCTAGTCTTGCTGATATCTAAATGCACCTGTGTGCCACAAAAAGACAAAAGTTGCCCTGCTCTGTTCTGATACCTGTTGATCCTACTATCTTCTCTCTCAAAAATCTCTCAATTTCAGTCTGAGTGCTTGAGCTGTTTCAGAGAAGGTAGGATTGATCAAGCATGTTTCTAGATGCTGTCAGAAGATTTTAGAAATGGATGAGTAATTATGGGCTATGCTGACTTGCAGATCTCTAAGTTGTCCCAGGTGGGTGAACTCTGAGCCAGCTGTCATTATCAGGTGATGCAGTGGGGTCAGATATTGCCCGTGAACTGTCAAACGGTTTGAAGAGCCAGCTATTATATCTGACTCCCGTGCCTGTTCTCATGTAAGGAAACCGTGGGGAAGGGGGAGGCTGTGGCTTTCTTGATGTATATTTTATGTCCTTGTACTTGATTTTAAATAAACCTCTAAGCAGCCAGGTAGCCATTGATCTCCGCGTGAATTCAGTTAGAACTCAATCTGCGGAGCGTTCAGCTTTCTTCTAGTCTTGAACTCCTCCTCTCCGTTACCCCTGTTGCCTACCTATGTTCTATTTTAATCTCAAATTTGGCTGTGGTGTTTTTGTTGTTGTGTTTAGGCCTGAATTAGTGGTTAAGAAGCTGCGTTACTATGCAAGGTTTATAGTGGTTTGTCTCTTGCTCAACAAAATGGATGTTGTAAAGGACCTTGTAAAGGTATGTTAAAATGAGGATAAAGGTGCTAAGGGGTGGGAGGTTGCTGGTTATTCAGGGCTTTTCTCCTAATCAAGGAGTCCATAATATCGTCTATTTCAGTTGAAATATCACGCATTAGATCTGTGATGTTAGCCGCTGCTGCAGCATAGCTTTTCATTTTTTTTTCCTTCATTTAGTTGATTGTGCTGTTGGATGCCACAGAAGGAAGGAATAACGTGGCTAGAGCTATGGAAAGATTCAGTATGATGTGAACATTTGACTAGAGAAAAACTTTACAAATCAATCTGAAAGTGTGGGGATTATCCGATAACTCTGAGTACATCTTCATTCCTGTAGTGGATTTAAGGCGTTGGTGGAATCTCCCCCAGCAAGTCTTCGTGACACACTGTTGCTTGGAAAGCCAGTGTCTCCTAGCTTGATGTTGAGCTTATTTCTCTTCCCTTCCCAACTGCTATCACTCTGTCCCATGTCTAGAGCACATCCTGAATACATTTTGCACCTTCCAGAGACCCATCAAAATTAAATCTTGCTAAACGATATAGATATTACTATGAAATTGGAGAGGCTGGATCTGCATATGCCTCTGCCGTGGGAGTAAAGCACTGAATGCCTATGAACACAAGTCTTCAGGTACAACAAATGGCGTACAGGCCAATGCTGATCATTGCTTTTCTAGTATATCTGACACCCAGTGTAGTGAATATCTGCTGTGAATCAGACATTTAATAATGACACTTTAAGCTCAGATGATTTGATAGCATTGTTTGAACACCAAGTAAAAATATTCCAATAGCTGCAGCCTGGCTAGGGAGGTGCCCTTTAACTACAGCAAAGGAACAGCATGCTGCTCCTGGCAGCATATGCTTCCCCAACCCCTCCAACAACCTTGCTGCAAGCAGCTTCTGGTATTGACAGTTTTGTGTAGGTTGCATTGCTGTCTTTGTGTCTAAGCTTAGTTGAACTGCTAGCTTAGCTTAGTAGCAGCTAAAAAAGCCACACCATTCACTTTCTCAATGTATTTAAAGTTACTTGTAAGCTGAAATTTGAGTCCTTGGTATCCATAGCTTATGGTAATACCCAGTGACATAGCTGTATGTGAGTGGGATAGTTATACTTAACTCCAGATATTTTTTTGCATTTGGACCTACTTAAAAGACACTTTGCATTGCCAAAACTCAGTGTAACATTGGCATTATGGCTCCTGAAAGAGCACGTTTTGGCTGGCATGTTAGTCATAAGTGTGCTGCATATGTTCTCAAGTAATTTTTTTCTTTTTAATTATTCTTAAAGGCCAGCACAGCTAACCAAACTGTAAAGTTACTGACTGCCTGTTAAGCTCTCAGTTTAAGAAGTGACAATATCTGTCTTTGAACTTTTTGCATCAGGAGCTGTCGGATGAAATCGAAGACTACACTCATCGTTTTAATACTGAAGATCAGGTGGAGTGGAACCTGGTTCTTCAGGAAGTGGCAGCGTTTATTGAGGTGAGAATACCATTCCCTTTCAGTTGTTAGTTTAAGAGTAACATTTTCTGACTTGTTCACCGAAGTGTTCCTGTATCACCGCCTCTGTGGTAAGCAGGTGTGCCACGCGCAGGGACAGTATTCCTGTCCAATTTAATCACTGAAATGTCTTCACAGTAGCATAACAGTGACAGCCATTACAGCGTCTGAAGAGTCAGACCGGGGCACGTAGCATATTGAAGACAGAAGCGTGAAGCTGAGATGCACCTGGTCACCTTATTTTTACTCTTGGTGTTCAGAAAATGGTGGAATAGAAAGCACAGCAGTTATCATGGTCAATATTTTGGAGAGAGTGCCAGCTCTAGTCCTGTTGTTGCGGAAGCCAATCCGATTTGCTGATGTTTTGATTGTGTTTCAAAGTGCACTTTGTTGAAGTACCAGTCTGTTAGACTGGCAATGTCTAAGCAGTATATAATGGAAAATACGGGGTAATCGCAGCAGTTAACTGATAGGCTCTTAGCATAGTTGTAATGGGATCAACTTCTAAAGTTTGTGAAAAGAAATTTGTTTATTCTGTCAAATGAGACAGTGTTCTACTTCCCTCCTTTTGTACAAGATGTCGCTATGTAACACGAGTATTTATTTAAATATTGCCAGAGTGGATGGCAGCATTATCATTCGCTCATCTCCTTTGCTATTTATTTCTAGGAAGGGAAGGCGAACTAAAATAGTGCAGGATTCTTCCGTATTGTAGGAATGTTTAGTTTATTCTGTGTGAATTTGTAAGGCTGTTGATGACGTTTGGTTCCTCAGGTGTAGGAAAGCTGAAGCAGAGCTTGTGTCATTTGAGGAAGTATGTTTTTCTCTTTCCTGTACCTTCATGTACTTGTACTATGTATTTGCTTGCAGTCCCTAAGAGGTGTCGCTTTTTCAGGTGGTGAGGCATGACGCTGTAGCCTGCATACAAATATACAAATATATGTATGGCAAGTTAATTTTAAAAATCTGCCTCACTTACGAAATGTTTACTGTAAGTGTCAAGATCTTTGGACTGCTCTCTGACTACAAATCTGGATGTTTTTTTGAATTCCTGATTTATTCTGGTTGCTTTTTTTAGGCAGACCCTGTCATGGTTTTAAATGATGACAACACCATTGTAATCACCTCTAACAGGCTTTCTGAAACAGGAGCTCCGTTGCTAGAGCAGGGAATGATAGTGGGACAGCTTGCTCTTGCAGATGCGCTGATTATTGGAAACTGCAACAACCAGGTAAAAGAAATTCCGGGGACTTGGGTTTGTATCTTTGGAGTTCAAAGTCCTTCCCCCTTTGACATCTCTTCTGATCATACAACAGAGATTCCAATAGAGGCAAACATTAAAATATTTTGATTGCGATGTTTGCAGTGGCAGCAAGAAGAAGAGGTTCTCAGAAATAAGAGCTAAAAATGAAATGTTAGATATTAGACCTGTAGTAGTGACCTCTTATTGCTTATATTCATCATGTCAATTAAGTAGATACAATTGATTTTTATACAATGGATTGCGTATTGTTCTTAACAACGTTCAAGCACGAGAGGCCTCTGGGGTATGTCTAGAAGAAGCTTGACTTAGGCTTTCACATGACATACTCCAGCTTGTTGCAACTTCAGTTCCAACAGGAAGGGGTTTTCAAAAGACTTTCAAGATCTTGTTTTTTAGATGATGATGATAGTGAAGTTGTACAGACTTCATGACTTCTCTCTGAGCTCTTTTTTCAGGTAAGCAAGGGAGTTGTATCTAAACTACAGTTCGTGTATCTTTTTCAGATTTTGTCTAAATTCATAGTACCTAGTGGTTTCAGCACTCGATTTGTAAACACCCCGGAAAAGTCTCTAATTTGCAAAGCAGGGGTCTGCACTACGGTGAACTGGCCTGGTAGAGCAGTAATAAATAGACTTTGTCCTCCGTGAGCTCTTCTAAAAGTCATTCACAGGTCTTTAGAGATTCAGAGATGACACTGACGGATCCCCGAGAGACAGAAAATGGTCTGTCTGGTATGCAGTTGAATCTCTCACCTGGATAATTCCAAAGAAATAGTGTTTAATTTGTATCTGGCAGAGTAAACTCTTTGACTCTCTTGCAGGTCAAGTTCAGTGAATTAACAATTGATATGTTCCGAATGCTGCAAGCGCTTGAAAGGGAACCAATGAATTTAGCTTCACAAATGAACAAACCTGGAATGCAGGTAAGGTCCATTTCAGTGACAAACCTGGCAACAGATCTTAACTGGGTTTTGTTTGTTTGTTTTGTTTTAAATGGCGTACTCTTTCAGCATTGTCACTGTGCAGGGCAGGTTAGTACAGCTGGTGTAACTCCGACTAGAAGCTAGTGAAGCGTAGCTCAAACCTGTGGAGTTTGATCCAAGTAATGTCTTCCTCCCCCCTTCTTTTTTTTTTTTTTTTGTCCTTAGCAAACCTTCAGTAGTGAAAAAATAGCAAAAATGAATGTTTGTCCACATACACTCACCCCTTCCTTTGTTTTCACTCTAGCAGTCATGCAGCCAGATAGGTTCATCAGCTTGCTAAGTCATCTGGAAGTTAAATATCCCCTTCAGAGAAAGCATAAAAAAATATTTTATCTGGAGGCAAAAGGAAATATCTAGATTTTCATTTATTTAATTGAGATGAGGAGTGAATTTTTTCACTCTTTTCTTGGGTGATGCTTTAGAGAGTAAGAAAGATTTAGGTAACAAATTTAAGCGTGGGTTAATATAAAGTTCTGGTTCAAATACTGGGCATTTTGCTTTACTGTGTAGTAGGCAATGCAGCACGGGCAGACCATTTGTGTGGGAAGTATTGAAGATGAACATTCTAATAAATAGAAATTTAGAGGGTTATGAAACTGCTTTGGTAATATACGGTTGTTGGGTTTTTTTGTATTGTGCTTTGTTTGGTATTGTATTTTTTTTTTTAACAGGAGTCAACGGAGAAACCAGCCAGGCGGGAAAACCCCCATAAATATCTACTTTACAAACCAACTTTTAGCCAGCTGTATACATTTTTAGCAGCATCATTTAAGGTTTGTGATATTGGTGAATTTCTTTGTGATAGAAAAATATCCAAATGGTATGTGACGCTGAATAAAATGCAGTTAAGATAATCTTTTATACTTCAAGATAATGAAGCCTTTTTGGCCTTCTTAAAATGTTCAAGATGATCTTCAGAGAGGATGGAATTATTATAAATATGTGTAATTTGTATAGTAAAGGCAAATCTGTCGACTGCTGTTAAGGGAAAGAAAAAAATTCATTTTAAGACAGAAACCCAGCCTGCTGTTATACAGAAGTTGTTATATCTTTGCTAACATATAGCCATCTTCAAAGCAAAGCTTGAACAACTCCTGCGCAAGCGGCCTCTGTACTAGCTGCCCAGTATCAAGAGTGGTGCGTGGCAATACTATGGAAAGCCTTAAGTAATGTAATGTAATAGTTGCATATAATTGAATCTTATCCAGTAATTTTATTTGTGCGTATGTACGTACACACATACATACACAGACATTTACAGTTATGCATACAGGCATATATATAAAAATAAGTCTTTCCTATATAAAGTATATCTATTTCCTATATATAATTATATAGGAAATACTTCTTGAGATAAGAGATCTGGAGAACAGAAGAATCTTAAGAGTATTCTTCTACTTCATGTTGTGCCAAATACAATCCAAAATCAAAAAGTATGTCGAGGAACTGTTGCTCTTAAGCACGGTATACCTGGTGGCTGACCAGTTCTGGATCCGATTGGAATTGTATCTCTCTCTTGCACGTGCTGTATTTTTATCTGCCTGTCTTATTTTGTTACCCACTGCACTCTTCCATGTAAGTAATCTATACACTTGTAGACTTTTTTTAATATAGTTTGTGTGCTTATCTTAATTTAATAAAGTTGCTGGGCTCACTATGCTTAATTATGGCTGTACAAGTCAGCAACGTAGGATTTAGTAGTTTTTACAGAATATGAATCCTATAAAGAAACAAGTTTCAGTTTGTTTCAAGTAACAACTGTGAAGAAACAGCTGGTGAGGTGAAGGAAGTGCATCCTTACTACTTAGAATTTTGGGTGCCTGCATGCTCAGCCTTTTGCAGAAATGAAAAGCATCTGTTTCCTCCTGCAGACAGCCCGTTAGAAAGGTGGAAAATAGATTTCTTTTACAGGTCTATAGAGAAACCTGGATGTGTTGTGCTTGTTGTCCAGCGGGGAAGAGGCAGATGTTGCAGACTCTGGGGTATTTGGAAACAAAGAACTTCCTTTAGGATCACCAGTTGTTGGGGAGTTAGTGGCTGTGTGGATCTTGGCAGCTTTTGGTTTCTGTATCTTGGAAAGCCTCAGATCTGGCTAGATAGTAAGGGAGTCTTATGTGGAAGCAGATGCTTTATTAGTGCTGCTTGAAGCTCTAATATCAGCCTAGAGGTCTTTGTGGAGGAAAAAAAAAAGTATGAAAGTATCATCAGTTTACACTTTTGTCTGTCAGCTATTTGAAGGGGGATATGTGGTGAGGAAGGGCATATACACATACGAAGAACAGAGTGAAGGGAAGCCAAAAGCAGGAGTAGCACAGTCTTAAATGGCAATGGTTTTATCAACGTGATGATTGAATATTAACATAAACTTGCACATTTCCTCCCTTGCCACTCTTCTCTTTTTTTGAATTTCAGGAGCTGCCTGCAAACAGTGTACTGCTGATATACTTGTCTGCCACGGGCGTGTTTCCATCAGGTCGTTCGGATAGTGAAGGTACAATAAAGGAATGCTCCCTGTCATGAACAGGGCTTGAATTCTCTGTATGTTCCAGGACAAGTGACCAAGAAAGATGTCACAAAGCTCCTTTTAAAAGACAAGTCAATTTTATTCTCCTGTCTACTTAGCAAGATAGCCTTTTTTCCCCACAAACCATAGTTAATTCCCTGTGTTTTAAGTAGTGTGCACTAACCTGAGACCTTTTCAAAGGACATACCCAGTTTTTGATGCATCTGAAATATTAAAAGCTTAACCAATTTTGAAGACCACGTGGCTCTATTGATGCATCAGTGCAAAGTTAAGAAAATGGCTAAATGGCACTTTGTGATTCTTTCCAATCTCCAGTACTATCAGAACATATGGTCAGGAGATGGGTGGTAAAAGGGCTGAAGCGTCTGCAGGGACTGCTCTATTTGCACGCTTGTTAACCTGACAATTCAAGCCCTTCTCATGATTCTTGACAATTCCCCTCACCTCATCCTCCTGTTCTTCGCAACCTAGCAGAATATTTGGATGCAGCTGCAATCTAAAAGCTGAAAACTGGTTGGCTGAAGTAGATGCAGTCAAAAGATCTGTTTATATAATTTAAAGGAAAAAAAAAAAAAGAAAAAGTTTTTAACATCCTAAATATTGAGACTCATCTGTTTTGAGACTTGCATTCCTTTATAAGATGCATGCCTTGTGCACCCCAATGCATGATTTATAGAGCTCTCAAAATGTTAAAGGAAAAAAAAATCCCTGTCAGCTTTGAATTGTGGCAGTGATTTTTTTAAATGCTTTTAACATTTTGCTTTTTGCTGCAGCTTGGTGATAGGTTGTAACTTAACGGTGTTCTTTAAAGCCTGTGTTACGTCCACTTTGCTGCATGTATTGTTTCAGCTCAATACCTTACTGTAGAGGCATCCAGGCTCTCTCATCTGAAGAGCTGCATGGTCAGACTTCAGTTTTCATTAAATGAATCCCATTACAACTGCATTCTTTTAATAAGGTAGTGTAGTCTGCACGGGCCAAAAAGTTCTACCTTTATTAAAAGGGAGAGCAGCTGCAAGTTGCACTGTTTATTGCCTGGAAGCCATTTGTGCTTGACAGTTCACATGAGACACGTGTAACAGTGCTAAATTAATGTATGTTCTGTTCCTAATTTTGTATTCCCAACGCTTCCCTTAAAATGGAAAGGTGTCTTATGTATCCAAACCTGAAAAAATTGCATTTGGTGGCCAAATATGAGTCAACCAACTCTGCAAATGTATAACAGAAAGAGGAAATCCTAATAATTTACTGATGTTAGTGATGTTTCATATCCATATCAATGGCAGAAATCTTGCCTGGTATCTCTAGCACTTTTCGTTTTGTGTAGGATTTGATATTTTTTATAGCCATTCCTTCCATCTTTGCTCTCCATCAGACAGTTAGGTGGGTAGCTCAGTTGTGCAAACTTAGCAGAATATTTCTTTAGTTTACCTTAGGAACACATGTCCAGGCTGAGTGCATTGAAACCTGTGAATTCTGTATTTGAAATCTTAAAAATTAAACTTCTGCTGCAGATTTGAAATCTGGTTAAAACTGTTATGTCCTTTCTAGGAGTATTGAAAGCGTATTCGTTCTCTGAGCTCTCCCTTCTCCCCTTTGCAGTGTTATAACTGCAGATGATAGTATTTGATCTATTCTGAGAGGCTACAGGGGTTTTGATTGATTGAGCCTTATTTTTTGATCAAAATCTGAATCTAGAATATGCTAGCTCTTACAGTAATTTTACAAAGGTATTAATTTTCCTGGATGAAATGTGTAATGAGTTTTAATCTCTTTCCTATGTAGTGTAACGAGAGCCAATATTTGGACCTTTTGTATTATGTTTGTGGATAAATAATGAATAAATAAATTAGACATTATGAAGTTGCATTGCTTGCTTCTATTTGATAGATGCTGAAACTACTAAAAATGCATAAAATTGAATATGTAGTTAGTAAAGCCTCCACATTCCTCCATCCCCTCCTGAAACTAGAGTAGTTCAGATTCACTTAGTTTTCTGGGATTTGTGGTTGCTTCCTCCCGTTCATATAATCATGAAATCCTTAACAGAGGTGAGTTACCTCCGCTAATTTCAGCTTTCTTTTTGCCATGTGTAGGTCCCTATGATTTTGGTGGTGTTCTGACAAACAGTAACCGGGACATTATAAACGGGGACGCTATCCACAAGCGAAACCAGTCTTACAAGGAGATGCACTGGTGAGTTTCGCGAGCGTGACAACTGCAAATTCAGAAGAATTTGTCTTTAGTAGAGAAAACGCATCAAAGCCTCTTGAATTCGTCTCTTCAGTGCAGGACATCATAATGTAGATTGGCTTGAATGTGAACAATTAGAAATGAATATGCAGCTCTAAATGATGATTTAAACACTCAAAAAGTATTACTGTAACTTAACATGAATTTTTTATTACTGGAAAACTTCAAATTAATGGTGGATGACTTTTCAAGCAGATAAACATCTCCTGTTGGGAAATTGCTAATAAGAAGTCCAATAGCCCATGTTATAGAGAATACCAAATTAGTTTTGCAGTTATCCTCTGAGGATGAATCTGAGGACTGGGGCATGAGGAATGTGCTTGCTTTTTATCTGGACACGGGCAGCTGTGCGTCCGAGAAACTTGTGCGCTGTCTCAGTTTTGCAGCAGTTCTAGCGCTCTGTGATGCGTCCCTTTCTCTTTGCAGTCTTCACCCTGGAGATCTCTACCCTTTCACAAGGAAGCCCCTGTTTATCATTGTGGACTCCTCAAACAGTGTCGCCTATAAGGTAAGGCTCTTAGGCAGCTATTCGTATGATAGGCTACAGTGTCAACCCCTAGTTAGCTTACACTTTTAACAGGCTATTTTTTTTTAAACAGTTTGTATTCAGTCTTTCTTTTCTTTTGAGGTTGTGCATGCTAGTCAGGATCTGATCCTATGAATAGGAACAAGAAGCAGAAGCACATGAACAGCCGCTCATTGGAAAGTAATAAATCTTCCTGGAGGCAAAAAAGGTTCAAGATTTCCAAGGTCTCTGGTGGGAGGTTTATTTTTGTTATATACCAAAGACAAATCTTGGTGTGTGTGCATGGGGGAGGGAGATAACTAATCTGCCTTTTTTTTTTCCAGTCATCCAACACTCAGTTGCTTTTAAGAAACAGAAAGGAGTCAAAGCATTGAGCCTGATCTTATAAAACACGGGGTGTCTGTGTCTGAAAAGTGTCTGAACGAAGGAAATAACAAGACTCAAATTAGCATCCAGTGTTACTGTAGAGTGGTACATGCTTGGACAATGAGCCTCCTTCCTAGGGTGCTATGGACTTACAGTAGAATTACTCCATGCCAAATCACCTTTGGGAATCTGCAGTTTGGGTAACACAGAAGCAGGCATTTTCACTCTCGGCTGCCAGTTGCATCTGGATAGCATTACAACATTTCTTTCATTCATGAATGGGATATTAAGAATGTGCTATATCTGGGGAAAGTGCCACTTCCTTATGTCTTCCTTTTTATAGCTCCATTATTTGCAGTGAGAAAGTGACGTTCACAGCTGCATTTCAGAGGAGGAACAGGGACGTCTAGTGGCCAGATGAACGTGTTCCTTGTTCAGTACCCACAGTCTGTGTCATTTGTTTTAAAGGCATGTGCTGGCCAATGAGAGGTACTAAATCAGTGATCAGTACGATTCAGGAGAGTTCTGTATTGAGCCAGGGAACTTCTACCTGACAGTCTTAGTGATGATCTGGCCTCTCTCTAGGGTTTTTGGTTTGTTGTTATTGTAATGCATTTCAAAGGGCTTTTTAAATACTACTGCATTTAACTTCACCACGCTAGATATCAGTGCAAATTTTTTATTAAATTCCCTTCCCCATTTAAAGGCAGGGAAATACAATTAAAATGGTTTACTTATCTTTCTGAGAAAATGAGGATTTGGTAGGGATTTATTTTCCTCTGCTCTTCCCTCACATTCATTCCGGTATAACACAGGGGGAGTTGGTTTTGTTTTAGGGTAAAAAGTGTGGTTTGGGTTTGGTTGTTTAGTTTGGTTTGTTTTTTTTACCCCTTTCCTCTCTAGTAGAATTGCTGAAAGCTGTCAAGTGAGTCAGCTCTGTAAAAGAGAGTAAGGGATTCCTGGTGATCCTGAATTCAAATACAGCTCTGGCCATACCAGGGTTCTGTGGACAGCTTAGAGCAAAGGATCTTTTTGAGGTGATGGATTCCCACATGTAGATTTGTAGCTCTTGTGAGAATAACTGTCAAGTGCTTACAGTAGAATTTGCTTTTTGTATTACATTTTAAATTTGATAATTGAATTTTCTTCAGAGTTTGCAGGCACACAGTAAGCAAAAACTGTAACTTCCATTTAGTTTCTTTTCCTTGTTCTGCAGTGAACTGACCATCAGTGGTGTAAAACACCCCACACAGAGCAGCCGGTGTGAGAGAAGTCCAACTCTGCCTGTGTGTAAGGAGTATAGAAATGTGAGTTTTGGAAGTATTTCAGGACAGGATTATGGAAGTGGCTGCTAGGAGCTCTGACCCAGATCGGGATCATGTGAGCACAATTGTGAGGAATCTAAAACGAGAATGACGAAAAAAAGAGCACGGACACCTATTTAAAAAATATACTCAGCATTTGAGAACGCACATTCGCCTTCACAATCCCTTGCCATTGAGCCTAGGCAGATAGATGTGTGGGGATGGGTTTAGGTGTTTTGTTTTGTTTTGTTTTCAGCTGAAGGTAGAGGGCAGAGCTCTCAATCTCGGTATTTTCTAGCCCTTGTAAGTTCCTGTCTGCTGTCATTCCGGGCGTGCTTACGTGTTTGGTTCCTTGTCGCCAGAATATACTGATAGTGCTGTCCTGTGACCGTCCTCTGGGTGTGTTGTGAGATGCGTTGTGGACTCAAGCACTGGCACAAACAAAGGTTCTGTGCCATTGTGTGAGAAGCTGAAGTCAGTGTAGTGGCTTTTTTTCCACATGGCTGCTCTGATCTTTTCAGATAGGACAGTAGCTATCCTGACATTTAAATGTCACTGCCAGCAACACTGGCAGTAACAGCAACTGCTCACACAGCTTTTTCTATGAGCCGTTTCTGCTCTCCTGCACGCATTCCCATCCTCTCCCTCGCTCTGGAGGGCTTAAATGGTGATGGCTGAAAGTAAGTCCTGCCGGGAAGTGGCTCGCCAGTTCGTCCAATCAGCCACACTTGAACAGCTTCCTCCCCTATATATTTAGCTGAAGGTGGAAGATAACAGCAAATCGAGCATATCTACTTAAAGCCGTGATTTTTTTTTTTTTTAACACTTCCATTTAAATATAGATGGCTGCGTTCTTGAAGGTTACCACTGTATATGTGGATGAAATAATACTTTAAAATCAATATCTTCTTGTAGTGGTGGTTGTCTAAGATTGTGGTCAAATGCAAAGTCTTAAAAAAACCAAACCAAACCAAAAACTCCGGCCAGTAAGAATGCAAGGCCCTTGTCGGTGATGTGGTAGAAGTACCCAGCTTAGTAAAGCTTGCATGTGAAGTGACTTCTGGAGATGACAAGTAGCTCTTTTTTGGAAAGAGGTGTACATGAGACACATTTTTGAAAGCAGCAATACTTCTGTTGGAAAACTTGAATGCTGAAGTTAAAAAACAGAGTCAATTTTGAAACAAAAACGTGTTTTACCCTTTTTGGAGTTGTCTGTGTGCTGAAAGGTGCAGCATTCCCCATCCAGAGCTGCTCCCAATACCCAGGCTGCAGGGCAGGTTTTTCTGGTGTGCCTGGTGGCCCTCCGCTCCACGCCACGGCTGTAATGTGCTCCCGTTCCTTTGTTGCATGTACACCCACAGCGCTTTTCTGTGGAAATCGGGAGCAGAGGTGGTGGTGGTGAGCGAATCCTGGTGTTCGCTTGGGCTACGGTAGGCAGTTGTGTTTGGGCGCGAGCTGAGACGGGTACCTGGAAGCTTGAGAGCCTTATCTGCCTGGATCTGTAGTTTAGATGTAGCGACCGGCATGACCAGCTGCCTTCCAAAGGGTGCGTTCTGTGTTCAACCGTGTAGCTTCTCCCCTTTGCAGGACTTACTAGCTGTGTTGACTTACCCTCTGCTGGGACAGAGTCCAAAATGATCTCAGATACTGTCAGTGAGTAATACCTTTCCTGAGATATATGACTCTTGGTTTTGCTTTATAGCTGTAGGCAGTGTTTAATTGCACTGGCATTTTTACCGATGGAGTGTATGGGAAGTCGGCTTCGGTCTCTAACTGGGTGATACAAGATAGAATTCAACATGTGAATCTGCTCCTGAACACTAAGCATTCATGCTCCTTGAGAATGTGAAACCTGCCGGTGCCTATTCAGTTCAAACTGGCCATGTCCCGGGTGACTCCTTCTGGAGTTTTACATGTTCCTTTATACTACGCTTTTCCTAATCACTGGGTTGGCCTGCAGTTACTGTCGTCATGGTAATAGTCTTTGTTTCTTCATTAGAAGACCAAGCCTTAGTATCTAGCGTTATAAACCTCCCTTGGGGTCTTAATGAAATAGAAGGGGGTTTAGGACTAGTCAGCACTCTGTCAGATAGGGGAAATGTTTTATTTTGATTAGACTAGGTTACTGTCTTTAGTATTTAGCAGACTTAGATTAAATTAATTCAGTGAAACTAATTTAATTGAACTATACTGCCTGGAAGGGAAGGTTCCATTTGAATTAAGCAGAAGCCAGAAGGAATTAAAAAATGAGCTTTTTGATGATTCTACACAAGCAAATACTTCTGGTGATATATAACTTAGGTTCGTAACCTGCCAATTTTAAGAATACAATCTGCAGAAATGTGTGTTGCACTGGGGCTCTGGATGCGTGGTTCGAATGTGTGCTCTGATGGGATGAGACGTGATCATTTACATGTTCTGTGGCTTTGCAAGCCTTCAGTTTTAAGAAAGCTGGTTTTGGTGAGACGTATGACAGCTAATGAGGTTGCGTAAATGAATTTTTTTTTTCTTGGTGATAATTATTACCAATCAGTATACCCACCAGACAGATACGCAGTAGGACTGTTACCAGGTAAACGTTGGTGAAACTGGACGAAGGCATCGTTTGAGGTTTCTGGAGAAATTCTTGTGCAACGGGACACTTAGGCAACATTTAAGGTGCTGGTGGAAGGTGCATGAAATGAGTGTGGTAAAATGAGGGTTCAGTCTAGCAGATGTTAAGGTTATGACATACTTTCTTTAAAGGAAACTTATTTTAAAACTTTTCTCCGCTGGGCTCTTCTGTTTCATCAGAAATAGTTCCTCCTGCTAGAAAGAAAAGGGGAAAGAAATGACTGTGACTGGATAGTTCAGTTGGTATTGAGGAAAGATGCTAGATCTATTTTGACCTGAAAGCCAATGGCTTTCATTTTTATTGCAGAACATGATTTTTTTCAAGTAACGTATTACTACTGAAAGCCTTATTTCCCTGAAATTAGTGTCTGCTATCAGTAGCAGTGAAATAAGAGAATTACAATTCCTTTAAAATGTAATGGGTTATCTTTCTGTGCTGTGATCTATGAGAAAGTCAACTTGTCAGTCTTACTGCCAATGCTGAACTGTGTGACGGGCATTAGTCTGTTCTCTGTTATTAACAGTCTTTGTTCGTACCCTTAACCTGCTGAATATTCAAAAGCAAGCAAAGTGACCATCAATACTTCAAAATTCTTATCTGTTACAGAATTTCACAAACTTATTTGGACAACCGTTGGTGTGCTTGCTTTCTCCAACAGCATATCCAAAAGCATTACAAGGTATGTGTAGTATTGCATTTCCTAATGAGTTGCAGTTGCATCATATATCTATCCTAAACAAATATAACCTAGATTCTTCAGGAAAAGATAGCTTTTCATCACTATGCAATCCCTAAATCAGATTAACGTTTCCCGAAGTAGTATGATAAAGTTTAGTTACTGTTTACGGCAAATAATTTATTCTAACAATGATGAGATTCCTACAGATAGCTTCAGCAAGTGCCAGGAGGCAAAGTCTCTCCTACACAGAGATTGAGAAAATTGCCAGCCCAGTGCTGGGACGATGATGATGATGATTAGCCCTTTGGGTAGCTTTATTAGTCCCAGAAAGTGAGCAGAGTCAGTTAAGGTATCAGCTTTTAAATGCCAGGTGTAGAGCAAAATCTCAGATCTTGTTCTGATTTTGGAGGGTAAGTTAAGGAGCACCGTTGGCTTTGTATGCCCTGAGAAGGTGCGTTTATAGTAGGAACAGGCAATGAAACGTTATATTCCTCAGTCCTTGTGACTACTATAAAATATAAATCATTCCAGACTGTCTCATTGGACTTTGCCCTGTTAAGGTTATTATCCATCACAAAGACAAGTACAGAGATCTAGCTTAAGCCACAGAGTGATGTTAGGCAAGTATCATGAGAGAATGTGCAAGAAGTGGAAGCTTCTCATTTGTTTTGAAACTATTCCTGTTATTTCGCTGAAACTTAAGTAGAAAATAAGTACTGTAATAATGAATCCTGTTTCAACAGAAATGCTGAAAAGTAGAACTAACTTTATAAAATACTGCACATTGTGTTCCTGGGCCAGTCGGGAAAGTCTTGCTGCGGTTCTGAGGGGGTGCCGCACTGCGCACGAGAGCACCCTGCAGAGACTTTTAGCTGAACCTGCCCGAGCCCCGTGTCGGTGTGGCATGACACCATGCATGCTGTGTGCCCAGGTCCTGGGGAAAAAAGGAAACACCCCAAAACCCGTGCTGATGTGGCCTTACTGTTTGGGCACATGATCTCACGTGCATTGCCTTTCCTTTTGACTTCCCCGTTGATTGAGATGAAGCTTGGACCTCTGTGTATCATGTTGAGCTGCATGGAGTAAATGGGCTTTAGGATATTGTGATGCTCAACAAAAGGGCAACTATGTAGACTTGGGGGGGGGGTGCATAGGTTCAACTGCCTGTTTTTTTTAATGGAATAAGAATGTCCATGTTTAATACTTCTCTTCAGGATTTATAATCAGTATCTTCTATCGGTTGTTTCAGTTATGACTATCAGAGGCCTCCCACAATTAAAATCTCGTTTCTCTTGGTGTTCATGCACATCTCCAGTAAGCCTTTATTGCTAGTAATTGCATCATCTTGAGAACAGATCTGCCACAAGAGGAGAGAAGATGTAACTAACACAGAGGAGCAGTTCCTCTGTTACAGAATTTAGTGGGTGAGCGACTCATTCTGTGGCAGGGACAGCTTTTCTGTTTCATGTGCCAAATGTATCTCTTTGTCTATTGATTTTTTTTTTTTTAGATCAGTCTCAGCGGGGTA